AAAATGAACGCAAAATTTCTGGCAACAGAAAATTCCATTCCTTTGTCAGACACACTTGCAGCGTGTACACCATTACAGGAAAGTTTCTTTTGGCTTATCACACACCCAATACATGGGGCAACATTACAATATTCCTGACCCTTAATCCATACCTTCAATAATTCGTAAAATTGTACAGATCTCATGTCCTGCCTGCCCTTTTCATTTGCTATACCCAGCAGCACAGCTTGGCTCAGTTCACGATACTACAGCCCCACACATCCTACAGATTAAAACCACCAAAAAACAGGGGACTGCAGCACAAATAGAACCCACAGCTAAATTCAAGCTCTAGACATGAAGCCCCCTCCATCCCTCAAAGAGATCCCAGTTTTGTTATTATTAAATCCTGTCAGGGTGTGGCTTTGTTAAACCAAAGTTCCCACTGCAAATGCCTCCTGCAATCCCCTCCAAGCCAATGCACACCTTAGCAACCCCACCAAAAATCAGGAGTGTCTTCTTGCACCCAGCACCAAATTTAAGCCCAGAACAGACTCCTCCTGCTGCACAAGAAGCCAGGCAGGGAAGGGAGCTGTTCCCCAAACAGTTACAGCCCAAAACCTCCCTGAGCTTCCCCAGACAGGTACCCAGCTCCTGCCACCTCCAGCACAGGTAACCAGGGAGCACTGCCAGCACTCGCTGCTCCAGCCTGGCAGCCTCTGGAAAAGGCTCAGTAGTAGGTGTGCTCCTCTCACATCGAGGGGAGCACTGATAAATTCCAGCCTTTGTGAAGAATTCCTCTGGAAACATGACTCAATGGTTTTTCTTACCTGCTACACTTGCACATAAATCTCACACTGTAACATGCTGCCTTGTAGATTCTTAAATCAGTCAGTCAGGATTTCATAATTATGTAGTCTAGGGTCTTTGTTAGCTGTTGTTGCTCCATGCACAAAAGGAAACATTTTGGTGCTATCGCTGTAAAACCTATTAATTAACTGCACATATATTCGGCCACAGTTTCTACTATAAAAATAACTGCTACATTGAATTAAAGTGGTTTGCTAGATTAATTGTTCTAAAGCCCTCAACAGAGCATAAATTGCATAAAGCTTCACACAGAACAGGAACGAAGGAGAAAATACCTTAAAAATAGCAACTTCTTATCGGTAACAGAAACACAAGCACGTTCCTTCAAAGTAAAGAGCACAAACAAAACCGAAACTGGTTCAAACCAAGAAATTCCTCTCGAACATCTCTGCACTCAACAGCAACGTTTTAATCCTTCTACTTCCTTAAATAATCTACGTTTCTCAGAGACAAGTTTTACAAAGAACATGCTTCATGAGTTACTGTGCAATAAACGTACAAAACACCATCTAAAAACTGAGGTGAAATAGCAAAATATTTGGTTTGCTTGGGGATATTTTTTAGTATTCACTGCATGGACTCGCAGCTTCATACAGTAAAAGAACACACATAGATATTTCTGAAAACGTATTTCAAAACTAGCAAAACGCCCTGCAACTTCAGATTCTATATACTAAAATTACAATTGACTGGCATTTAAAAAAAAATCATTACACGTAAGAAAAGCACAAAACTAATAGGCTGAATTGTTCCTTGCACTACTTAATTTTACAGTACGCAAAATAAAACTTAAACCAGGGATTTTATGTGACAGATGATCTAATGAGATGTGAAGCTTTTATTTTCTATCTGGCATCCTTAAGCTCTATCCCATACGGGTTTCAGTCTAATATTTCCGATAGCCTCAGCAGCATTCACACAGCAGACACGAGTTCTGGTCCACCAACAGTTAATGTACATTATTTAACTGCTTTGACATGTCACTCCCCTACCTTTTTGATTAATGGGAAGAAGTGCTCTTAAAAATAACTCTGAAAATCGAAAGGAAACCGCGAGATTTTTTTTCTTTTTAAATATAAGCAGAAAGGAAAGTGTACTCGCTTCTTCTTCCATCCCTCCCCCCTCCCCCCACGTCCTGACATTGAGCTTTTCCAATCCTGCCAGAAATAAAACACCCAAACACAAGCACGGGCCTAGGCCATCCAATTCAACACGCTTTAGAGTCAAATCTCCAGATCAACCAAAACCAGTAGCAGCAAAAAAATAATTCTCTACGATACAGTCCGGGCACAACAATGGGATGAGCAGTGTCAAACGCCAGACTACTGACAGGAACAAGGCAGGAAGCAGGAACCAGAGTAGCACTGTCCCCTTTGCTTCAGCCGTGTGCCATTTCAAAAACAGTTCCACTTATTCCGTAACCCGAACGTTTCCCTGGCGTGTGGTGTTTTAAGCACAGCTGGCAGACACTCGGCCCGCACAGCCTTTGTCAGCAGCTCACGGATGGGCAGCAGAACGTGCTACAGGTTGATAAGGAGGGCACCGGCGCTGCAAAGCAGCAGGAAAGCGCCCAGAAAGAACTTGGGATGCGCAGGAGAGTTTCCCTCAGCCCTCACCGGGGGCTCCACGCTCCCCACGTTCGCTCCCGGTGTTTGTTTCGTGTTTACCTCCCCCCCCCTTCTCTTTCTCCTCCCTGTCCGGCCATCTTGGGCCGACAGGAGCAGCCATTACTTAACTAAATGACAGGGCCAACAACTTTCCACAGAGACAAACACCTCTCTCCGGACACCAGGCCGGGCGGCAGCA